TCTCTTGTAGTTTAGATTTAAAATAGTTTGGAAAATTAACTTTAATGGTATTGTATATCGTGATAGAAGACCAGCTGCTCGATTCATTATTAGGAATTGCAAAGGCCAGATGAAACTTGCAAATTCCTTTGGGTTTGGCCTCTGTTTTGGAAGCTGAAACTTTGGCATTAAAATATGGACTTATTTGGGCAAAGCAGTTAGGAGGATTAGCAAATATTTGTACTGAGGGTGATTCATAGGTTGTTATTAAAATAGTTGACACAGCAATTGTAGCCCCTTTACGCATCCACTCTCTTTGTCTGGACATTAACAGCCAGCAATTCTGCGTACTTTTAGAGAATGCAATAAGGTGGTAACTCGTGGTCGTCAACTTCCAAATCTTTATATTTGGTTTAATCATATACATCATTTTGTAGCTTTATGGATTCTGAAGCATTTTCATTCAACGAAGCAACGTACGGCGCACACGATCGAAGGTTAAAAAAGTGACATTATTAAAACCTTAACCACAAAAAAATCTCCGAGGAAGAAAAATCCGGCCAAAGTACAAACGTACTACATCACCTCCAAAGTATCTAACCCAATTGCCAATTCCCTAGGAGTATCATCCAATAATAAAGAAATAAGATTCAGACTTAGACGTTTTCCAACAATGAGAAGGAAATACGAATTAGCTTATACACATTCTGATATGGAGGTTGTTGGTCTTAGGTTCAACCGAAAGAAGAAAGAAAGAAAGAGGCTGAGAAGTTGAGATATTAAGAAGAAACAGCCACAAAATTAGGTTACCCAATCACCAAACACAAACTACCATGAATTCCAAAACCCACTCACTTATTTATTAAATTATCTGCATAAACTTTTGGCACCATGCATGGTCCCATTGCTATTGACTTTTATCCCTACCTATCCACACTGATTGCGCCTTCAGTTGTGACTCAGTGTTTGCATAAACTAAATCCTTTTTTTTTTCATTTTTCTTAATGACTTGAATATTAAGAAAGATGTTTGATTTGACCCAATTACAAAACCCATTTGCCCAAAATCTCAATGTTGTTTAATCTCAATGTAAATTGTCTGCCATCTATAAAAGCAAAGCACTAATGGTTAGTCTAGAAAACAAGGATGTCATTCATACGTCTTTTTTGCTTCTACTTTCAATTACGCCAAATATTGTTTGTAATTTGCCTAATTGGAGGGGTTCTCTTCTGCCGGCAAATTGAGATTTGTGATGAGTCATTCAGGTCAGGTGCAAAGTGGACCACAGCTAATCTAGATGTGATATGTAGGGGATATCTTGGAGACTCGCATCCCACATGTATGCGCTCCAAATTGTCTCATGTAGTTAAATATGTCAATTTGTCTTTCAAATTGATGGGTATTCTTTATCTATTCAGTAGACATTGCTTTGCTTGCTAGCAAAAAATAACAGAAATGTGACAATTTAGACGGTGAGAAGTAAATTGGGATGTCTAAAAATATTTAGAGGATTTAAAACGAGATTGAAAGTCATAGCTTCGAGAGCGATTGCTAAACTTTTCCATTTTTAATTATATGTATATATAAACTCAAAATCCTAACGTTTAGCCATAAACCCAATAACACAAAATCGTTTTCTTTGAAAAAAATGTTTTACATAAAGCTAATGAACATTGAGATGGGACGAAAAAGAGACAAGGCGAGCTGTAAGCTTGTCTCATTCTGAGGATAATTACACGGCGATTAGACTTTACCATTTTTTTAAAATTATTTGTTTTACACTAAAGTCTTGGTGATTAATTAATGTGAAGAGGTTCGCAATTTGGGTCCCTTTCTGATAATTAACATCATGATAGAAGCCGAAGATGAAGCATGTCCCCACGCGCTTTACATGGCCAAGTATGAAAAGATAATATGTTTTCTCACGTGAAAACATTATCGGGGATGTTTGTACATATGTTCCAGAAAAGATAGACTTAAAGAATCTTCTTTATGACATCAGCAAGGGGTAGGTTCCAATTCGGCAGGTTGATGCATTCAATTCAACCATGCAACCTAAGCCTGTTGATAAAATAAACGCACCACAAAGGCATCGAGCATGACAATTTGACATTACATGCTATAAACAAATCCAAATTCTCCAAATCTTGCTCACCACCTTCCTTCATGTCCAACTAGAGCTTCTCCAAGCCATAATCTCCAGCCACCACCGCCGTCGCCATGCAGCTGAACCGTCTCTGCTTTGTTTTACCAGCTGACTTCAATGAAATCGAGCCGCTGGATTGCCAAAAGCTGCAGAAACCCACAAAAGAAGAGATCAAAAAGAATCCTCGTGGTTATTGTACGAGTCATATTCTTGCTTTCATCAAGGATTCACTATGCAGGCTCTATTATGACTTCAAATGGATCCATTTTTGTCACCATGACAATACACGAAGGAAACGACACTCCGGTGTGTTTCAAGACATGGATGGGATACAACTTAAGGACAAGGCTGGAGGAGACAATCCGAGGATCTTTAGCTTTTCCGAGCTTTATATCGGTTCTAATGGATTTAGTGAGGATGGAGTTTTGGGAAGTGGAGGATTTGGCAAAGTGTACAGAGCAGTTCTGCCAAGTGATGGAACTGTGGTCGCTGTTAAATGCTTGGTGGAGAGAGGAGAGCAATTCGAGAAGACTTTTGTGGCTGAGTTATTGGCTGTGGCTCACCTCCGCCATAGGAACCTTGTCCGGCTAAGGGGATGGTGTGTTCATGAAAACCAGTTGTTTCTGGTATATGACTACATGCCCAACCTTAGCCTTGACCGCATACTTTTCAGGAGGCCTGAAAATATAGGGTCAGCACCTCTCAATTGGGATCGTAGAAGGAACATAATCAGTGGCTTGGCAGCAGCGCTTTTCTATCTGCATGAACAGTTGGAAACTCAGATCATTCATCGGGATATTAAGACGAGTAACGTGATGCTTGATTCCCATTACAATGCTCGGCTTGGTGACTTTGGCTTGGCACGGTGGCTGGAACATGAACTTGAGTACCAAACAATGACACCATCAATGAAAAATCACCAGTTTCGGCTCTCAGAGACGACCAGAATTGGTGGAACAATTGGGTATTTGCCGCCTGAAAGCTTCCAAAAAAGAAGTGTTGCTACTGCAAAATCTGATGTTTTCAGCTTTGGGATTGTTGTGCTGGAGGTGGTGTCAGGTAGGCGGGCAGTTGACCTCACTTGCCCAGATGATCAGATCATATTGCTCGACTGGATCCGAAGGCTATCTGATGAAGGGAAGCTTCTACAAGCAGGGTATAATAGGATTCCAGATGGGTCCTACAAGCTTTTTGATATGGAGCATTTGTTTCATCTTGCGCTTCTTTGCACACTTCACAACCCGCAATCTAGACCAAACATGAAATGGGTTGTGGAAGCACTTTCTGGCAACATTTATGGAAAATTGCCGGTTCTCCCATCATTTCAGTGCCACCCTCTGTACATCACTTTATCCTCTCCCACCACTACCAGCACAAACAACGGCAGCACCAACACCAGGTACACAATAGCCACTACCAACACAACTATTTCATCTATTTCATCAACTTTTGTCACAGCCACTGGAGAAACCATCTATGCCACTGCTGAATATGGAGGCAGTGATGTCAGCTCTTCTGAAAGCTTCCGTCAGAAAAAATCAACATTTCCCATGATAGAAACTCCACGAGAGATATCCTACAAGGAAATTATATCTGCCACAAATAATTTTGCAGATTCTCAAAGGGTAGCAGAGCTGGACTTTGGAACAGCCTACCAGGGCTTTCTTAACAACCGTCATCATATCCTGGTGAAGCGGCTTGGCATGAAAACATGCCCTGCACTGCGGGCACGATTCTCAAATGAACTTCAGAACTTAGGAAGGCTCCGCCACAGAAACCTGGTTCAGCTCCGTGGGTGGTGCACTGAGCAAGGAGAGATGCTTGTTGTCTATGATTACTTAGCAGATCGCCTTCTGAGTCACCTGCTTTTCCATCATGACTACAGATTTGGCAATTCCATCCTACAATGGCATCACAGATACAGCATTATCAAATCGCTTGCTTCTGCCGTTCTTTATCTCCACGAGGAATGGGATGAGCAAGTAATTCACAGAAATATTACCTCTTCTGCTGTTATTCTTGATCCAGACATGAACCCAAGGCTCAGTTCTTTTGCCCTTGCTGAATTCTTGACACGAAAAGAACATGGCCATCATGCAACTTCTAACACAAGCAGATCAGTTCGTGGGATTTTCGGTTACATGTCACCAGAATATATGGAATCTGGGGAAGCAACACCGATGGCTGATATATACAGCTTTGGCGTCGTAATGCTCGAGATCATTAGTGGACAGATGGCAGTAGACTTTCGACGGCCTGAGGTGCTACTGGTGAAGAGGGTCCATGAATTTGAGGCACGCAAAAGACCATTGGAGGAACTGGCAGATATTAGGTTGAATGGAGCGTACAATCACAAAGAAATGATGAGACTGATTAAACTAGGAATTGGCTGTACACGCTCCAATCCACGATTAAGACCAAACATGAGGCAGATAGTAAGGATACTTGATGGCAACGACAAATGCTTCATGGAAGATGGGAAAAAGGAGGAAAGAATGAAAGAATGGAGGCAAATGAATGCTTCTTCCTTGTCATTAATCAAGAGGATCCAAGCTCTAGGAATACAATGAAACTCACCCAATCGGCCTAACAGAGGGGCAAATAGATAATATATATACCGAAAGCTCTGATAATGGAGAAACTGATTTCTCTTTTTATCTTTTACACATAAGTTTTGTATTTACTCTTTTAGACTTTGTGTAACAAATTAAAGAGCATCATGTCTGCACGTTTTTTTATATTATTTTTTTGTGAAGTAGCGTAACTCTAAATGGGTACATTTTCTTGCCATATATAATGCCATGATCCACAGATACAAAATTTTCTCCAATTTTGTTTACAAAGAACACAGAAGAGCAGATACAGGAAAAAGTGAAAATACTGTCCATCATTTAGTTCTCATAGTGATTCACAAGATGGTTCAAACTAGTAAAGAAAATAATACATTAATTAAACATGATAGAACAGCTGAAGTGTTTTATACAAACTTAAAATGCTCTAGAAATATATACATATATAAATTTATCAATCTGACCTCATTTGAACAACTGCTACTGCACCCATTTCTAAACTGTACATCACTTGCTTGGACTTCGTACCGGAGACATTTCTTCATTTGTGTCAATTCCAACCCAATCGATGAAAGCAAAGAGGAACTCCCTGAAACTGACCTTCCCACGTTTGCTCCAATCCATTTCTTCTGCAACAACCCACAGATAAACAAAAATGGATTATGAGAACTTTAAAAACATATAGAAGAAAGGAAAAATACCAGTTTAACCATAGTAGCAAACGAATTAATACTGAATCGAGTCCTGGTGACATGTGCAGGAGATTTCTCCAAAGGAGAAGCCTCATTCAATGCCTTCACCATGTCTGTCTTGTTCAGTTTCCCATCACCATTTTTATCCAGAAATGAGAATACTTCAATTACGGTGTCAAAAGTTGCTTCAAGCTGTGGCGAATCTATCTTGGATGTCTGAAACAATCCCCAAGACATTATAAATTTGCTTCCAAAGAGAGAAATAAAATAGAGTTTATGGTGATTACATTATGAGAGGATGAAGGTTCCTTTAATAGATAGATGAGGCATAGAAGAACAATGAATTCATTGAATTGTATCCCTTCACTCCCATCCATGTCACATGAATGAAAAAGATCCTCAATCTCCTCCGCTGTCAGATGGAGTTCCAGTTTCTGTAAGCATTTCTTGAGTTCCTCAAGGTCAATAGTTCCATTTGAGTCCTCATCTACGAGAGACAGAGACAGAGAGAGAGAGGGAGATAGGGAGAACTTTCAGTAAACCTCCATGATAGCATCTTAGAAAGGTGAAAACGTTAATAATTCAAACACCTCAAAACTTACCATACTGTTCAAAGACATCTCTTATTTTCTTGAGTTCCTCCCTGAACTGAGGGAACCTCATGATTATGCTGTCAATTGACTTAAAATTGCTACGGCCCAAGGAAGCTCTTTTAACTTCAACCATTTTCTTTTCAAGCTTTGCATCCAACCTGCTATACTTGTTGGTTGAATCACGACAACAAAGCATGCTTCCTACTTTGTTTGATAACGACTTCAGATAAGGGCAATGAGATGTGCCTTTACATAAGACATTAGGAAGAATCAATTTAAGCTCAACAAGAAAGTTCAAATCTATATCCTGTCAAGATATATCCTGTTCTGTATTTACTTATTTAGTGATCAAAATAATAGTGATGATATTGGTGAGAGGGGCTAGTGATGACAAGCTGGTTATAGTTGTGAAACTAGTGATGAAAATGGTCAAATGGTTGTTTGGGATGGTCCAGTAGCTAGTATCTCCTCATTAAGGGCATATGGATATGTCATAGTGGAGAGTAAATGTGGCAAATTTTTCTTATTAATGGAAGTTTTTCAATGCCAAAGTAGTTACAGATGTTAGGGGGGTTACGGGAGTTACCATAGTTAAGGGTCTTCAATGACAATACATTAGTGTTTTAGCTGTTATGTTGTTATTAGCCTTTATTAGGATACTTACGGGTTTTCCATTTCATTGTAACCACTAGAAAGATATCTTATAATTTGGGTATAAATATAGGTTGTAATATCTCAAATATTATAATCGAACATACAGTTTCTACATACCATAGTTAAGGGTCTTCAATGACAATATATTAGTGTTTTAGCTGTTATGTTGTTATTAGCCTTTATTAGGATACTTATGGGTTTTCCGTTTCATTGTAAATACTAGAAAGATATCTTATAATTTGGGTATAAATATAGGTTGTAATATCTCAAATATTATAATCGAATATACAGTTTCTACAATAGATGCAGAACTTCCTATTCCAAATACGTCTAACTAGAAAAGCTATTAACAAATTCTGCATTACTTTTGGTATTACAACTGAAAGCTTCAACTCACTTACATGTACAGCCAATACGTTTTCACTTAGGAAAAAAAATGTCTACGATCTCCTCAAAAATTCACAAACTCCAGCCCTCTAATAAAAACGAAAAAATAATAAGAAGATGAAGAAAAATGAAGGAAGCTTCTAAAAGAAAAACTTCCGTTGTTCGCCTTTACTCATTTTGATCAAACCTGGTGAAGAACGAAACCGCGTCTTCACAAAGAATTGATCATATATAACACTACCATTTATCTTATTACAGGACTGCTATCTTACTCTCTTGTAAAAAAACACAAAAACATATGCAAGGCATAATAGAAGCCTAAATTAACTACATCAAAGCAATATAAACCATATTGAATCACACACTATAATACAAAAATTAAATGCAAACAAACAAACAGAACAAGCTGGCTATGTGAAAAACACCAAACAGTAACAGAAATTCAAATCCAATCCAAACATAATTGAAGCCAGAAACTTTCTGGAAATGCCCAATTTCAGATTTTTGTAGAAACATTTCATGGGTTTCTTCCAAAAAATAGTTACTAGTTAACAGCTAAAGAAAATCAAACTACAAATATCAAAAGCAAAGAAAGAGGGACGACTAACCTGTTGAAGTTGAACCCTTCATGGAAGCTAATTAAGCTAGTTCTTACAGGAGAGCAAGGCAGTAGTATCAGAACAAAGCAACGACAGAAAGAGAAAACAAAGAGTACCAGCACCTACCCACCAAGTAAGAGAGAGAGAGAGAGAGAGAGAGAGAGAGAGAGAGAGAGAAAGGGTTTAAAAGGGAGCGAAAAATGGGATGGTAAAGTGGAGATGCCATTACGGCTTTTGAAGACAAAGTATTGCTTAAACCTGTTTTTAAAATATCAACGGCACATTTTCATCAAAGAATATGTTTGCTTGGACGCGACTTTATAGTATACCACATTATGCCACAAGGAAGGAATTTAAGGCATAGAAAGAAAAATGCAACTTAAATCAACAGGAGATGTCAGTGAGGATATTCCGAACAGAAACAGTTTACAAAGTGCAAAGAAGTTTATAGCTCAAGTTCAAAAAAATTTATCAATATTCCCAAGGTCATACGTTTGATTCTTTCGTATTTGATATTACATGTATCAAAAGGAAAAATATATATACCTACGCATGCCTCATCCTAAGTGTAGTAGGGCCAATTGTGCTTATGCACTCAACATACCCATATAAACACATATTTGTGCCACCAAGAAAAGATAACAATGAGACAAATGGCATTTCACTTAGACCATCTCCAACCATAAAAAAGTTAAACCTAAATTTCCACCTTTCAAAATAATTATTGGGAGTTTCACTAAAACACCCAAAATGGGAGCTGAAATTATAAAAAAACCCAACACCCAAAACACTTTATAAACACACCCAAAACCCATCATTACACACGCTCAAAACCCATTTATAAACACACCCAAAAAATATACAATTGTTGACTTTGGGGTTGATTTTGAGTGTGTTTCTATGTTTAAATAGTGTTTGGGTTTTTTTATAAATACATGTTTAGGATTGAGTTTATTTATAAATTTGTAATAATTATTCATGTATTTTCTGAATTCAAATAAAATTTTCCTCCAACCTTGCATGTATTTTCCGAACAGTTGCAGGACACTATTCGGCCTGGAAGGTTGGAGATGGTCCAAGGTTTGAAAAGCAGTGCTACATGGATTGCCAGGTTAAACTTAAATTATGGCTTCTTCAAAATAATGTACATATATGGGCTTTGAGACCCAGAGGGACAATAGTGGTCTCACCATAGAACGAAGGCTTTAACCATTTGGGCTTGAGTTCACATCCGTAAAGGAAAATAAAGCATATATGTTCATGCCAGGGCCAGTGTGTAATAGTCTAGAAGGCAGGCAAATCGACATGTATAAAAATAAAGGTCAATGCACATGGAAACAATCTGATTTACGAATATACAGACCGCTGATGGTACAAATTTACAAAGGATGGTACATTTCATATTAGCTAGGCAGAGAAGAAATTTTTAAGGAAATTAAAAAAAAAAAGAAGAGGGTTTCCATTTCTAAAGGAAAATCTTGAATTCATCCAATATTGTTCATCATTACTTCTTGCCTCATGTTACACTCCAAGGGCAACGAGTCTCCATTGCCAAAGAAGGGCCCTTGTCTTTTCTTCATTGCAGCAGCCAGTGAACTCATATCCATTGGAGAAACAGGGCTTCCAGTTGATGCCAAGCAGCTATCAACAGAGCAGTTGCCAAGCCGGGCCAGTACATTGGAGGCGTTTCTGTTCTCTAAAGCGGCAGCAATTTCAGACAAGGAAGGCATTTTCATGGTATCAAGTGGGGTTATCCCTTCACAGTCATTAGAAACCTTAATAGCTAGTTGAGAGAGTTCCTCCTTAGCAGCTTCAAGCCCAGCAGCCGATGCAGCCTGATCATTCAGAGCCTTACAAGCTTTCTCAAGTATTGACTGAAGATACTTGCCCTGTGCTTCAATTCGAAGTTGAAGACGACGCTGAACCTGCTTATAATATTAGCCATAAGAAATTGCTGCTTAAAATTCATAATTAAATTATCATGCCACTTGAGGGGGAAAGAACAAAGAAAAATGAATAAACTGGACGGACGAAGAGTATTTAAGTTCAAAGCTGCAAATGGATGAGTTTTATAGGATCAAGGCAACCTGAAATATAATACATATATATATATATATAAACAAGGTTATTTTTCTCACGAGGAGCTCCTGACCTGTGGTTATATTTAGAAGTTTATGTGGCCTGTAAACAGGGATTCCAGTTGATGTAAAGCAGCTGTCAACAGAGCAGTTGCCAATCCGAGCCAGTACAGTGGAGGCATTTCTGTTCTCTAAAGCGGCAGCAATTTCAGACAAGCAAGGCTTTTAAATATCAAGCCAGTAAGAGCAACTCCACCCATTTGCCCTTAGCCATGGCAAGGGGGGAGCTAGGGCAGCTACTATTCACGTGAATAGTGGTTGCCCTTGCAAAATCCGAATTTTGTGTTTCCACCCGTTGCCCTTGCTAAGGGCAGTTACTATTCATTTTTTTGTTTTATTCACAATTTTTTTTACCTCAATAATTAATTTGGATAATATTTTAGGATTAGATTTTAGGGTTCCTACATGTCAATACTATTCATATCTCATAATCGGATAAAATTTTCAATTTCAAATTTCAAATAAATTAAAAAAAATTGGCTGGTATTTATAGAAAAAAATTCATTAATTTTTAGGTATTTTTTAAAAAAAATTTCGAATTTTTTCCAGTATTTTATTGCAAAAAAATTGGCTGCCGTTGGATTGGAGGAAAAAAATCATATCGAAGAGCCCAGATGACGCCACGTGGCAACAGGGAAAAAATAAATCAGTGGGGGTACTGTAGCAGTACTGTAGCGGGTACTGTAGCGCTGACGTCAGCAGCCCGAGGTTTGGACCTCGGGCTGAAGCTGCCTTCGGGCCAGCCCGAGTTGGTGGGTCCCACACCCCCCCGGGCCTGGGCTGCTCCGCTGGAACACAATTTTATTTTTTTTTCCCTCTAGCCTTGGGCTAGGCTCATGGGTGGAAAGGCCCTAAAGAGATACTCTTTAAATATATACGAATATTTCAAAATATATACTTAAAGCGTATAGCCGCATGGGTATACTTTTTAAATATATTCAAATTTAATAGTCTAGCCGGACGGCTATACTATTAATATATTTAAAACGTCCACTGTTTAAAATATTCGAATATATATATATTAAATAATACTCATTAAATACTCATATATTTAAACAGTATAGCCCGCCCGGCGGTACTATTTAAAATTCAAAAGTGTATCATTTTCAGGAATTTTGTTGTTGTGCTGTACTATGTAAATCTCATACTTCATCAAACCACCTTAGCATCCACAATGGGCTTCATAAACCATCTCCTTAGACAAATTTTAGGGAGGAATAGTAAAAATACAACTCCAACCATACTCCATATCCACCTCCTAAAATAGGGAGTCCTCTAAGAGCATCCACAATGGGCTCCCTAAACCACCTCCTTAGACAAATTTTAGGGAGGAATGATAAAAATGCAACTTCAACCACGCTCCCTATCCACCTCCTAAAATAGGGAGTCCTCTAGGAGCTCCTAAATCTGAGGAGAGAGAAATGACTTCTAGTAGCTCTCTATAATTTAATGCTACTTTATTTAATGAGTATTTCAAACCTTTATTTAATACTAACTATTTTTTATTTTATTTTTTTAATAGAGATGGACCAATCAAAAAGAGTTATAACATTTATGACTCTCCAAATTAGGGAGTATAGTTGGAGTTGAATTTTTTAGAGAGCTCCTAAAATAGTTTTCTTAGAGCATCTACAATGGGCTCCCTAAACCACCTCCTTAGACAAATTTTAGGGAGGAATGATAAAAATGCAACTCCAACCACGCTCTCTATCCACCTCCTAAAATATGGAGTCCTTTAGGAGCTCCTAAATCTGAGGAGAGAGAAAGGACTCCTAGTTGCTCCCTATAATTTAATGCTGCTTTATTTAATGAGTATTTCAAACCTTTATTTAATGCTAACCATTTTTTATTTTATTTTTAAATAGAGATGGACCAATCAAAAAAGAGTTATAGCATTTATGACTCTTCAAATTAGGGAGTATGGTTAGAGTTGAAATTTTGTAGAGAGCTCCTAAAATAGCTTTCTTATATTCTTAGCCAAATTTTAGCTAAGAAATAGAGAGCATCATTGTGGATGCTCTTATATTCTTAGCCAAATTTTAACTAAGAAATAGAGAGCGTCATTGTGGATGCTCTAAGAGCTCCTAAATCTGAGGAGAGAGAAAGGACTCCTAGTGGCTCCCTATAATTTAATGCTGCTTTATTTAATGAGTATTTCAAACCTTTATTTAATGCTAATTATTTTTTATTTTATTTTTTAATAGAGATGAACCAATCAAAAAAGAGTTATATAATTTATGACTCTCCAAATTAAGGAGTATGGTTGGAGTTAAAATTTTTTAGAGAGCTCCTAAAATAGCCTTCTTAAATTTTTAGCTAAATTTTAGCTAAGAAATAGAGAGCGTCATTGTGAATGCTCTTACAAAAGCTTAACCCTAGAAGAAAATAGAAAGGGAAAGGAAACCCAGGAAAACTATACACCATGTTAAAAGGAATAAACACCTTCACCCTTACCTTAATCTATTACAAACCCAACTTCCTCACTCATACCGTCATCACCAACATCATCAATAATAATAATAATAGAGAAAAAGAATATACTCTCAAAAGAGCAATACCTAAAACAAGTCTGCTAAACTGGTATGACATCATTCTTGATGCATCATTACATCTCAAAACAATACCCTAAGGCTAGCTGGAAAGATACATTTGGCCCACTCACATCCTGTCGTGATCGGCTCAAGGGGAGGAACGATCATCTGCACATTGTTACCCGGTATACACTTCCTAAAAACATGAAGACTAGATATTTGAAAGCACACTATAAACTCCTTATAATGGGCATTTATGTTTAACACAACTATAAAAACGATAGATTATGAGGGAAAAACTCAGAAGCATTTATGATTTATAATTATAAGAAAAAAGCAAGAGATGTTACCCTTCTTTCAACCGCATCATGCGATCATCACTTGAAAGATTCCTCTCTCCCAACCACCTAAAAAAAAATAACTAAGCATGCCTCATCCTAAATGCAGATGTAGTAGCACCAATTGTGCTTCATGCTGTAAGCTTCTGCACTGAACACACCCATATAAACATGTATTTGTGCTACTAATAAAAGATAACAATGAGACCAATGGCACTTCACTTATGGTGTGAAATGCAGTGCTACATGGATTACCAGGTTAAACTTAAATTAGGGCTCTTGAAAATAAGGTACATACATGGGCCTGAGATCCATAGTGAGTAATAGTGGTCTACGCATGACATTAAAAAATTGAGCAGGATTTGAGGCTTTAACTATTTGGACTTGAGTTCACATCCATAAAGTGTTGAGTTTATGATCAACTTGTGAGATAGTATGTTTATGATCCCAACTCAAAAGGAAAAGAGAAGCATATATGATCATGCCAGGGCCAGTTCAGTGTGTAAAGGCCTAAAAGGCAGGCAAACATGTATAAAAATAATGGTGAATGTGAATCCACATGGAAACAATCTGCTTTACGAATATACAGACCACTGATGGTACAAGTTTACAAAGGATGGTACATTTCAGATTAGCTAGGCAGAAAAGAATTTTTTAATGAAAATGAAAAGAAAAAAAAGAGGATTTCCATTCCTAAAGGAAAATCTTGAAATTCATCCAATATTACTCATCATCCATTCTACTTCTTGCCTCATGTTACCCTCCAAGGGCAACGAGTCTCCATTACCAAAGAAGGGCCTTTGTCTTTTCTTCATAGCAGCAGCCAGTGAACTCATATCCATTGGAGAAACAGGGCTTCCAGTTGATGCCAAGCAGCTATCAACAGAGCAGTTGCCAAGCCGGGCCAGTACATTGGAGGCGTTTCTGTTCTCTAAAGCGGCAGCAATTTCAGACAAGGAAGGCATTTTCATGGTATCAAGTGGGGTTATCCCTTCACAGTCATTAGAAACCTTAATAGCTAGTTGAGAGAGTTCCTCCTTAGCAGCTTCAAGCCCAGCAGCCGATGCAGCCTGATCATTCAGAGCCTTACAAGCTTTCTCAAGTATTGACTGAAGATACTTGCCCTGTGCTTCAATTCGAAGTTGAAGACGACGCTGAACCTGCTTATAATATTAGCCATAAGAAATTGCTGCTTAAAATTCATAATTAAATTATCATGCCACTTGAGGGGGAAAGAACAAAGAAAAATGAATAAACTGGACGGACGAAGAGTATTTAAGTTCAAAGCTGCAAATGGATGAGTTTTATAGGATCAAGGCAACCTGAAATATAATACATATATATATATATATAAACAAGGTTATTTTTCTCACGAGGAGCTCCTGACCTGTGGTTATATTTAGAAGTTTATGTGGCCTGTGCATAACTGGTAAACAAATGATACAATTGCTCAAGGTGGTTTTTGGTCATGCGGAAACCTATAAGCCTGCACATTACTAGCTAAACAAAACAAACAAAAGCGACTAACCTCCAGCTGCTCATGCAGTCTCCGTTGGACTTCCATTTGTACTCGCAAAGCCTCAGTAACCTGGTAGCCACTGTTTGAGACATCAAAAACAACAATTACATGAAAATTGATAAGCATTAGTAGTAATTACTAAAGGAGGAGTAGTAAGTGAAAGATCAAATACTCATTCAAATCTTGCGCAATCACTCTGGATGAGGTTGCTGAAGATGAACCAGTGTCCTGACTTTCAGCAATGCAAGAAGCTGCAATCCCTACACATTATTATGTAACTAATAAATTTTCCAATAGCCACAACTTATCACCGGGAACTTTTGGCACACCAACTTTTCACTACTACTTCAGAGATAAGATTGTCTACGGACTCTAGTCTCCCGAAAGACATGCCATTTTCACCAGCAGATGTCACAGTTAACAGTTACGAATTCGGATCTTCGTAGATTTCCCACCCACCCCACACCCCCAACTCAAGGTCAAAGAAAATTATAATGATAACACAGCACCCCAAAGCAAATGAATTAGAGGTGGCCCATGCAGTTTATAATAATTTATCTAGAAGTTTCTTGCCTTAAAAGTTTACAATATATAAACCAGACCAGCAGTGGAAAAGAGAGGGAATGCAAGAAGACAAGAAAGAAAAAGGAAGGAAAGATAAAGACCACAGCCTGCTGAAAATAGCACTTTCTTTGTGCTAAATGAATTAATACAACCTGCAGAAAACGTATAAA